CCTTTTCCTTTTGACCTTCATTGTGTTAACATGTTTAAATATTAATCAATAGGAATCCAAAGAGACAGACATGCAAAAGAGAACCACCACCCATCCTTAAGCACCTTGGACATCTGGACTCTTAAAAGATGGATTCCATTCCCTCTGTTCTTCCTCCCTTGACTCCCATTAACTCCTTGTTCCACTTTATTCTAGATTTAGATGAGAGAAATCACTGTTGATTGACCAAGGCTCAATTACAGCTCCCGAGGGTTCTTTACCAGTCTTGCCTGCATGGCCACCCAGTACCTGGTGATGTCTGCACCACCTGCATCTCCTCGGCACTCGACTCTCCCCACTTGTAGATCCCCAGGCTCTGTCTCCTCCCAGCTTTCCTTCTCTCTCTCTCTCTGGTTTCTTAATTACCATGAAGTCTTCTATTTCCATAGGTCATCCCTTATAGTAATGTTCTCTATTTATTGTGGCATAAAAGGCTTCCTGTGATGTGGTCCAGGCTATATAATGGGGATTTTTGTCCTTTACACTATTTCCTCTTCTTTCTCTTAGAGACATTGTGTTTATAACTCGTAACATCTGATAGCAGACCTCCTACCACTGAGAAGATATTGGTACCTCCCTCTTCCTTGTCTCCTCATCTGTTTCTTGTTTCCCAAACTCTGTTCTTCTGTGTGGTTGTTGATTAAATCCCCACCCACCATGCTTTCCCCAGTTAAAATCCGAATGATGCTCTCTGAAGCCTTGTTTTTCACAAATACCCCTTTTTCACCATGACAGGTGACTGATATACCATATCAGTCCAGCATAAGCATCCTGGCGGGGTAGGGGGGCATTGTCTTTTCTCTGGGGTTTGGTAGATGCATTCCATTATTCCTACTCACAATGTTTCAAATGTAGTGTTAGTCGAACTTTTATTTTCTTTGGGCAAGAAATCTGTCCTTTCCTCCCCAAATCTTGTTAGATTTCTTTCGTCTCTGTAGTTCAGGAAATTCACCAACACATGTCTGGGTACACGTCTCCTCTTTCTCTAACCAGAAATCAGTCGAGTCCTTGGCATCTGCAGGCAAGTTTCTTTCTGTCTGGGGAAGGTTTTTTTTTTGATTAACTATTGCCCATTACCTTCTTCTGTTCCTTCTTGGGGTCTGGATACCTATGTGAAAATCTCAAGAGTGTCATTTAGCTTCCTTGTAGTTCCCTCATTTCAGAACCAAGGCTGTCGTAACTCACTTGCTCTACATTACCCTGGATTAGGTAATTTTTAGACAGTAGAAATCTATTGCTCTCGTTTCTGGAGATTTGAAGACCAAAGTCAAGATTTACTGTCCAATGAGAGCACATCTGCCTCACAGCTGGTGCCTCAACTGGCCACTATGTTATGGGAGGGGTAAACTGGCTCCTCCAGGCTGTTACATCGGCCCTGCAGCCTGTCCATGAGGGCTCGGCTTTCATAATCACCAGGGAAAGTCTTAACCTCTCCATAGAGATACCATCATTGTTGGGGGCTGGTGTTTCAACATATGAGTGGAAGAGAGGATAAACATGCAGGGAATAGTCATGGTACTCCCCTCACAGAAGATTAAATCAGAAAAAATGCTTGGCTCAGTGTTGAGACCATAGTCAACACTACAGGTGTTGATAATATTTGGCTTTGACTGGACAGTCTATCATCTTTCCCTTAGAATTCTAACATTTTTATAATTTATGATGTCAGATTAATCTAATTGATCTTCTTAATAATTAATATTTTTGGCATTGACACCCCCCTCTCGAAATTAGCTAATAACCTGTATTTCTATGTAGGCTCATATGTATATATAATATGTATGTGTGTATGTATGTATGTATGTATGCGTGCATGCAATTCTGTTACTCTATCCTCAATCTATTTTATTTCACTCATGCTCTCTCTTCTAGAAGCCACATTTGATATTCTTCTTGATGGCTGCTGGCTCTTCTTTCCTGGGCTATTCTTCTTTGCTTATTTATTATTCTCCAGGTCTAGCTGTCACAGTGTGCCCGTGATGGTCAGAGGGGCAAGTTCTGCCTGTGTGACTTGGCTCTATATCAACTTTTAAGAGTCTCAATTCCCCATTGAGCCTCCAAGGGAAATAACAATGGCCAACCAGCATTTTTGAGCTCAGGGATTCAGAGGACTCAGGCCATTGTCAGATCCCTCTTAGGAAATCCAGGAGGCAACTAACCACAGCTACCATTCTCTGGGACTTACAAACATCCCTTTAGGCTCTCTTTAGGGTACCATCTCTGATCTTTGACATCAGCCTTCCTGCCTCTGTTTCTCAAGGTCTTGTTTGCCCAGAGAACAGAAAGCTGGTGGCAACTCTCTCTGTTGTAATCCATCACCTTCTAGGACCCTCCTGCCTCTTCTACCAGAAACTGCTCAGCCAAGAGAATCAATAGTAGGGCTGGACTTGGCAAGGGGAGGCCAGCAAGCATATACCCAGGTACCATCTCTCCAGAATCTTCCCTTTATCTCTCTTCTCCTCCTTTGATCCATCCTCAGTATCATCACTGGCACGGGAATTTCACTACATACATCCCTCTACTTTGTAAATCTCCTCTCTGATGGAGTTAGTGCAACTAGCCGGGTCCTCAGACCCCTTGCAGCTCAGTCAGTGACCACACTCAAGCTATCCCCCCCTCCCAGATTTTTTTAGCCCACAGCTTGCCATATTACTAGGACATTCGAGTTTTGCGTGAGCTCAAAGCACAGATTGTGCAAACTCAAACCCACTCTCTGCTCTTCTGCCTTACTAATCTTGAAGATCTGTCACCACTCAATGACAATACTGTTGCTTCTTGGTAGACGCATTTGAAGTCGAACAGCTTGCCTTCTGCTATATTATATTAAATACAGCCTTTAAAAACAAAACCACAAGCCTCCTTTCTGTCAAAACAATGTCAGTTTCACAACAGTTTTTTTTTCTTCTTCCGAGTTGGTGTTTACTGGGAAAAGGAACCTTTCAGTATTATGAAGCACAAAAGCTTCTGCAGCTAGCTCTCTTGACAGTTTCTCCTTATCGTATAGATTGCATCACAGGAATCTGGCTGCTTACTCTTTTTAGCCTTTGCGAGAGTCTCTGAAAGGAAATAGCATGTTTAGGGTTATATTTATAAAACAGAAGTGGGCAAGTTCGGCACCCACTGACCTACTAGCCAACCGTGCTGTCTGGGTAGCCTCCTGGGGCCTTCCCGAGATCCAGACAGGCCAGATCTCTGTTCTGCTCCCACAATGCCCTACAGTTTCTTTCCCTGTGACCAGCCTCATGCTGTTTTAGCTACTGTCTTGATGTTTATATTCTTTGTTAATCAACAGTTCCATCACCTCACTACTAGGGTACTATGTTGTAGTTTAGGGTGTGGGCCATGGGGCCAGGCTGCTTTAGGTTCAAATCATGGCCATGTGATCTTGGGCAAGTTTTTTACAGCTTTGAGCCATTGCTCTGTCTTCTGTCAAATGAGCATAATAATGTCGCCCACTCAGAGTTGTGAATCACAGTAGCCATTCATGTGGAGTCCATGAGATGGTACCCGGCATGTAGGAAACATTTAGCACGTCTTATCTCTTAGTATTCTTTTTTTCTCATTTATATCTAGTACTCAAATGTAATAAGTATTTTTTGATAAATGTCAGTCTTTGATGCCATATAGAACAATGTTTCTTCCATTCAATAATCCTTCCATTCAATAAGCAGTCATTAAAAATGAGAGCTCCTAAAGTATGGCATGTAGCCCTTGCCTGTAAAGAGCTTTCCTATCCAGTTATGATGAAATATTACATAATGAGTAATCAGTGCATTTAATAGAAAAGCATTGCCTATTAATATATGCAAATTTATTAATAGTGAACAATATACAACTTCCAGATGTTTCTCCTGCTAACAGCCTCTTCTTAAGAACATAGAATAAATAGTCTCTGACTCTGTTGCTTGCTTTTGGGATCCTATTGCTCATACTGGGTTGCCTTGCCCAGCCTTAATAGGAGGAGAGGTGCCTAGTCTTACTGAAACTTGATATGCCATGCTTTGTTGATATCCATGGGAGGCCTGCCTTTTTTTTCTGAATAGAAATGAAGGAGGGGTGAATGGGGGGGGGTGCAAAAAGAAGGTGGAGGAGGGACTAGGAGGAGAGGAGGGAGAGGAAACTGTGGTTGGGATGTAAAACAAACAAATAAATATTAAAAGCAAAGAACATGGAGGTTGTTCCAGAAGCATCATGAAAAATTGAGAATTGGAGACTGCTGTTGATTTTAAAAATAAGACGAAACATTGGAGAGTTATCAAAGCTCAAATTATTGTTGTAGTTCACTTACACCTTGGCTATGTGGCTCTTTAAAACATTCTTGGCTACAAGGAACTGTGAAGACTCACAGCATTGCTGTGAGAGCAGTCCATCGCCTTAGTAGTTGCTCCAAACACTGAAGACGGCATTGTTTTGCCTCCGCCCAACTGTTTTGCTTTTAGGACACACATTGTCCAAGCAGGTGTATTCCAACACCAAGAAGAAGGACATCACCAAGTGGTTGCCTGCTCTTCACATCTTTGAGATGGCCCTGAAGCTCTGCCAGGTGACCGCAGCAGAGGAGTATGAGGTGGAAGCTGAAATTCTGTTTCAGAAAGGTGAGTTGTCTGGGCGTCAGAACCCTGATGAAGCATGTGGAGCTGTGAAGTTATTAATAGTCAACTTCTTGACTGTGAAAACCACAGACTTTACAGAGAGCTTGGCCATGACAAGGCACATCAGTCCTCTCTGTAAGTCTCAGTTGCTGATGAAAGCCTCCCATTCAGTCATATCTAGAAAATAAAGTTACTACTAATTGATGTCTTCATATAAAGTTTAGTGTTTGGTTCAAGAAAATGTCCACATCAGCCACTTCACCACACGTCACGTGACTGGAGTGGTGACTCAGCAGTTAGAAGAAGCATGTAATGCTCTTGTAGAGGATCTGAGTCTGGTTACCAGCACCCATGTTAGGAGGAGTTACCACCTGTCACTCCAGCTCCACGAGGTCCAACAAAGTCTTCTGGCCTTCTGGCCTCTGTGGGTGGCTCCATGCATGCCCATGTATACCCACACAGACACACATATACACATAATTTAAAAATAAAAAATTAGGGCTAGAGAAATGACTCAGCAGTTCAGATCACTGACTGCTCTTCCAGAGGACCCAGGTTCGATTCCCAGCATGCGTAAGGCTATAACTTTAGTTTGTTCGAGGGGATCTAATACTCTCTTGTGGCCTTATCAGGTACCAAGCATACACATGATATACAGACATATATGCAAGAAAACTCACCTGTACACATAAAAGAAAATATTAAAAACATGAAAATAAATCTTTTAAAAACACATACTTGCCGAATAATACCAATGAAACAAATGTAATTATTAATTAAGACAATAAAAATAATTTATTATTAGATGATAATAATAAATTAGTGTTTTACATTATTTCGTTACCTAGTTAGACATTTTGGTTAATTTCTATAAGTAAGAGATAACGTTAAATTAAAATTTAATAGCTGTAGAATACCTGTCTCTAGAACTTACAGACAATGCATTCATATGATTTCATCATGGCCATTTCTGCTGCAAGAAAATCGAAAGTGTAACGATTGCTGTCATTTACTGAGCTAGACATGTCACACGAGAGTTAACTTCTCACCCACCGGCAGCTCTTAAATGAGCATGCCCAGATGGGAGCTCTGTGTCCCTCTCTTGGCCCTTTCCTGCTACACAAAAGCTGTCATCTTACTCTTGGTGACTCTAAGACCTTGCTTTCCTGGAATTTCTGCTGCAGGACAGCTCTCTCAGTTCTTGTGCTTGAAGGATGGCATCCACCATGGTTGCTGAGAGCCAAGTGATGGGTGGCATTGGCATCATCTCTAATTTAAAAAAAGCAGTTGCTTTTTTTTAAAAAAGGATTTTTATTTTTCATTAAGTTGTTTATCATCATCATCATCATCATCATCATCATCATTTTGATTTTTCCAAGACAGGGTTTCTCTATGTAGCTCTGGCTGTCCTGGAACTCACTCTGTAGACCAAGCTGGCCTCAAACTTATAGAGATCCACTTGCCTCTGCCTCCCTGAATGCTGAGATTAAAGGCATGCATCACCACTGCCTGGCTTTTGTTAAGCTTATTTTAAAACCTAAACACTAGGCTGAAGGGATAGCTCAGCCATTAAAGGCTAGGCTCACAACAAAAACTTTGCAGTTAATTGACTATATATATAATTTAGGTACAGTGTAATGCTTCCATATATGAATATAGTATGAGGTGATTAAACCTAGCTAATTCAACTTATGCAAACATATCATTTTATTTTGTGGCATGAGTATTTAAGAATCTAATTCCTTAGTAATTTTTAAGTATATAATACACTCTAATTATAATGTATGTATTTAAGTATATAATACACTAATTGTCACCAGGCTGTACAGTAGATCACAGAACGAATCCATCCTGACTGAACTGTTTTCAGTATCTCCCTGTTTCCCACACTTCAGCAACTGGCACTCCTCTTTCTACTTCATGAATGGAGATCTCTTGGATTCATGAATTAATGTAAGCAACACTGTGCAGTGTTTACCTTTCTGTGCCTAGCTTCTTTTGCTTAGCACAGTGTCCCACATTCATATGTGCAAATGGCAGCATTTCTCTCTTCTTATGCTAGATAATATTCTCTCTCTCTCTCTCTCTCTCTCTCTCTCTCTCTCTCTCTCTCTCTCTCTAAAAAATCCATTCATCCTCAAAGAGAACTCAGGCTTATTTTGTCTTTGTAGTTATGACTACTGCTGCAGCAAACATAAGGATACAGCTGAGCCCCCCCCCTTTTTTTTACATTTGTGAAATAGACAAGGGTAAGAGAAAGAGAGATGACGTTAGAGGTGAGGAATCACAGAGTGGGGGGACAGAGGAAAGTAAGCTGTAAGGCCAATGGTGTTGGGAAGCCAGAGGTGTTTTATTGAAAGCATTCCAGACATCCCTGGGCAAGGAAGCTTCAGTCTTTCATCCTCAGCTTATCTTCCATCAAAGAGTGACAGACAGACACACTGAAGACAGCAGTCCAGCTTCCAGAGTTGGCAGAATGAAGTATTTGCTCTTCTGTTATAAATTATAAAAAATGGGAAACCATCTTTATGCATGTTTTTTCTTCTTGCAGGCAGAATAGAGCGTCAAATTCTGATAGAAGAGAAATCTCCAGTTTCACAGATAGAGAGTTTTTTCGAAGCTATTCAAATAAGCCTGAGAAACGATCAGAACTCAGGGTAATGGTGAACGTTTCATCCTTGTAGAACTGCTCCTGTGTGGTCTGGGTTCTGTATGCTATACACAGAAGATTCAAGAAAGGGATGAATGAGACCTTGTCATGGCGGGGCGCATTCACTGGGGTTCGTCCAGACAGCAGGTTTAGTGACCTGCTTCTCAAGCTTGTTGCTTTTGGCTCTGACCTAAGGCCTCCTTTACAGGAAAAGGTGGGATGCCTCCCAGTTATCATATAACATTCTAGGCTGCAAACTGGTTCTCACTTAGACCCAGGTCTCCTGTCAGTAACAAGACCATGGAGACTTCCTTTAGACTATTGGTTACAACTAGAACAACCTACTATAGATGTTAAAGAGTTTAGAAGGATTATTTCCATAGTCTCTGTAGCCATTCATACCAGTAGCCTGCTTAATTCTGTACAGAAATGACCTCAATATTGGTGGGAAGCCACTGTTTGCCCAGCACTGACCTGAGACGTCAACTGATACCTTTGATAGAACATATATAGATCTGACCATTGCTGTTTTCTGTGGAGTTCCCTGTTGATTTCCACTTTATTAGCATGGGAGAGTAGACAGAGGCCTGGTTTTTAAGGATGGCTTCTTCTGCTACGACTTCTTTAGTGACTACTTCCCTGGAATGTTCCAGAAAGGTCTTTGCTAAGCATTGTAGCAGTCATAGCCCGGGATGTTGTGAGCATAAAATGAATTAGAATGCTGAGCTTTCCCAAGAGCTTCTCATTTCTGAGGAAGATCCCACTAGCTGCAGCCTGAAGATGTATGGGCTAGGAGAAGAACACTTGTCTGTTCTTATTGTTCACTCCCCCAGACACGGTCGGCGAAAAGTACAAAGAGATGGCACGAGAGAACGGTGTCGCTAAGTTGAATGTCATATCATTGTAGGTTGATAAGAGACTCCTACCTAGAAATTGCCCTGGTGTATTTCCATCTGAAGAAGCCAAGGAAGAAAGTCTCAGCAACACCGTCATCACTCAAGGTATCTATCAGCTGCGTTGACAGGAATTAGAAGCCCCTGATCATTTTCAGTAATGCTGCATTGCTGGAATAATGGGGCATTTCCCTATGTGACTTGAAGACATGAACTCATTACTGTATAGTGACTTATAGTCAGATGCCTCTTTTTTTGGGGGGGTTTCTTTAGGCAGAACGCTGGAAACTGATTTCATTTCAGTGTTTGTGCTTGTTAAAATGATGCACACGGGATGCTGGCTATGTAACTAGTCGAAGGCCGTGAGTGCTTAGGAATGAATGCGCGGGAGAATATAGGAAATGGACACAGAGTATTTTTGAAAGTCATAGGGCCTGCCAGTGTTGTTCATAGCTCACAGATGTATCAAGCTCCTGCTTTGATAGAGGCAGTCTTCTAGAAGGTGATAAGTCAATGCTGAAATGAGCATAGTCCCTCTTCCCATTGAGCTAGTGGAGGGAGACAGACTGTACGGCAGCAGACATGAAAATCAGAATGGAACGAGGGAGAAAGGGGATGAGAGGGGTCCCTCGTAGTGAAACTTACGACGACGAGGAAGTTATTTGGGTTGCTGAGATGGTAAATGAAGGTGGTCTTGTGATGTCAGGATGGTAAGCAAGGGTGGTACTTTGGCATGATATCGTGATGGTAAATGAAGGTGGCACTTTGGTGTGATGTCACCATGGGAGACGTTGCATAAGGTGGGAGCCATGCAGACTCACAGGAGATGCACTGACTTGTTACTTAGGGAGTGGGCTTGAGGTTTGGGGTTTCCAACAGACTCCCAGGTTTTGCTGATGTGCACAGGTCCACTGCAGTACCAAGGATCTTGACTGAGGAAGATTCTAATGGAAGAAATAAGCCAGGTTGCTTTGAATGACATGATTATTGTTGGGTTATGGTGAATGTTCATATTTTATCCTTACCAAATGATCATTGATTCTGCAAGGAGATCTTTTCAGAAAATGTCGGGATCAAATCTCTTAATCTTTTAAAACTCTTTATTGATTCGTTGTGGGTTTCACACCATGCATCTTGATTCTACTCATCTTTCTGTCCCTTTGAATCTATTCTCTGTCCTTGCAACTTCTTCCCCAAGATATTTTTTTTTTTTAAAGATTTTCTTTGTTTTGAGACAAGGTCTCTCTGTGTAGCCCTAAATGTCCTGAACCTCTCCATGTAGACCAGGCTGTCCTCGAACTCACTGAGATTCACCTGCCTCTGCCTCCCAAATGCTGGGATTAAAGGTGTGCACCACTGCAGCTGTCTCAAATCTCTAGTTTTTGAGGTGTCATAAACATGACTTGAAACTTTAGGTAAATATATTTAGTCAATCAAATTATTTATGTACTAGCTGCCTTAGGTGGGTATCACCATTTCAAAAATCAAAATGACTATAAGCTAGGAAAGGCTGCTGTGGTGGTATGATAAAAATGTTTGTTACTAGTTAGAGAAAAACAAGTGTGTGGTTTCCATAGAGAACAGTGCTGCAAAGTAGTGGAATGGTGTGAATATCATCAATTTCTGGGCCTAGCCAAGAGATGTGCTTGTAATTATTAATGTGAAATAGGATTTGAAGGGAAAAAGTACTGTAATTACATAACATCTGTATGTCTTGACATAAAAATATTTTAACAAGTTATAAAATTACAAAAGGCACAGAGAATAGCCCAAAAGGAATAAAAACACCCATCCAGACATATTTTGGTCATTGAAATATAACATTTGAAATTTGTCTTAATAGAAACAACCCAAAAAAACTTAAAAAACCAGCAGTTGTGGGGCCACTGAGGTGGGTCAGTGGGTAAAAGCACTTGCCACCTAGCTTGATTCCCATGATGCACCTGGTAGAAGGAAAGAGGCAACTAGAACAAGTTGTCCTGTGACCTCCACATGTGCACTGTGGCACACATGTGCCCCCAAAATAAGTAAATAAAATGCAAAACAGAATAAACAATAGTACTGTTCCACTTTTAGCAGTGTGCAAGCAATACAGTCCTGGGCTTGGATCTCAACCTGATATATCAGAGTAACTTCAGAAGCCTTGCTTCCCCACCTCTGACATGGAGATGGCTATACATACCTTTTAGTGTGGCTAGGAGCATAATAAAGTATTGAGCACGATATATTCACTTCCACTATCTTTACATAACTTCAATAATCATTTATATTCTTCATTAAGTATTTTATATGTAGTAGATTACCCAATAATTATTAGTTAAGTCTAATTAACCATTTTTGAGCATCCATTCATTCATTATCCAAACTTTTTGTTTGTTTGTTTGTTTGTTTGTTTGTTTTTTGAGAGAGATGGTGCAGCCATTAAATGCTAGGCTCACAACCAAAAATATCCAAACATTTTTGAAGGGCTTAATGTGGTACGAGGTATGTAGTTAACTTTCCCCACAGAACCTTGAGTCTTCCAAGGGAAAGATATAATTGAATGGCACCTTGATAGGATTGCAAATACAATATGCTAAGGTAGAAATGCCAGACAAACTAATTCTCTTTTGTGGGAATACTACAGAAGGCTTCACAGATGAGAGAGTTGAGAAGAAGGAATGGGATTTCCCAGGTGTTTAAATGGGGGGAAATAGTTCAAAGAGAAAGATGAGCTGTGACCGCTTCTTTTCATCTATACATATTCTAGACACAGATCTCTTACTGGATGCACGATTTGCAAATATTTCCTCCTAGCTGGTGGCTTGTGGTGTTTAGAGACAAAGAAATTTTTAATTTTATGAAGTTCCAGAATGAGTTCTTTCTTTTTTAGAGATTGTGTTTTGAGTGGCGTGCTAAGATCTTTAGAACCCATTGATCTTTGAGTGTACCTTTATGGACGTTTCACCCTCTGTTGCTACAGCTTTTGGTAAGGAAGGTCTCAGGATTCAGAGCACATGTCTTCCAACACCATGGTTCATCTTCAAAATTCTTTTAGTACTTGGAGACCTCCACATCTTCATACACATTTTCCAATCTGTGTCCCAATTTGCAAAAAGAAAACTGAATTGGAATTTTTCAGGAATTCTGTTGAAGCTACAGGACAATCCGTTGACAGTTTGTCTTAGCAACATTAAAACTTCAGGGACATAAATTCTAGAATTTCTTTATAGTAATGTAATTGATTTGCACATATTGTTGAATTTTATATCCCATGCCTTCACTGACCGTGTTTGTTGATTTTCATAGTGTGCATGTGTGTCTGTGTCCTAGGATTTTCTATGTATAGGATCACATCTCTTACAAAGAAATATGCTTTTATGACGTCATTTCCAGTCACTCCCCGGGTTTCTCTTTTGCTTCTCTGGTCACATGGGCTGCGCAATGTTGATGCCTCCTCATCTTGAAAAGGAAACCCATCATGTTCTTTCTCTGGTCCATTTTTAAAAGCCCAAGTCCAGCCTCCTCTAATAACTCTTCTCAATTAAAAGTGGCTACTTTTCCCAGAGTCTGTGTCACTAATTGCTTCCCCTCACTCTGGATTCTACAATTCATGGCTGCCAGTCTTTCTTCCAGACTTAGGTAAACCGCTCAGGCTTAGTAGAGTTGCCATTGCTTCCCTAGAGCCCACATGGTTCCCCATAGGGCCTTATCTCGGGCAAAGCTGTAGACTTCAGGTACCCACAGGGAAGTCTCTTCTGGTGTCCTTTTCTCTAAACCTGTCACTGGTGTTGGCTGGCCACATCAGGCCATTGTACCCAGTGGCTCAGTATCCCTAGGATCCAGGACCTCACTCCCTCACTCCTTCCCCATGAGTCTTCTAGATAGAAGCAAATCAGTGACATGCTTCATGTTACTATAGGTCCAATTCTTCAGTTTTCTTGAAGAATAAAGAAATAGTCAAATATACATAGCAAATATATTAAAACTTAAGTGTCTAATTACTTAATTTTTTTTTGACACAGGGTTTCTCTGTGTATCCCTGGCTGCCCTAGAACTCACTCTGTAGACCAGGCTGGCCTTGAACTCAGAGATCTACCAGTCTCTGTCTCCACAGGAATTAAGGGCCTGTGCTGCCATGCCTGGTCTAATTACTTAAATGTTTAAAAACTGACTTAAAATTTATTTACTTCAGTTATCATTAAAAGTATAAGTTACTGTATTTGCTGTATTTGTCTCTGTAGCGTTAAACTTCTTGTGTTTAAAAATTGAATGCATATGAGTGTATATGTGAAGGTGTGTATTTATGTATATAAAAACTGTCCCTTGTGGTTTCTATTCTACTAGTCTATGGAGTTATGAAATACCTTTAGCATTTTTCATAATAGTAACCTAATATCAAAATCTACTGAGTCACTCAGGAGGCTGAGGCCAGAGAATCTTGACTTAGGGGGCCCGCAGGGCTTTGAGACCCAAGTTAAAACAACAGAAAAACAGAACAAATTTGAATATCCTCCTCTATTAAAATGGAATTTGACGTCAGTTAAAAAGATACTTTTATTAACTTATTACATAAATCATATCAACTCATTATAGAAAAATTAGGGAAAAGTAATTATTCTGAAGTCTTGGTATAATTTCTGCTTACATATACAGTAATGCATGTGTACTTTTAAAAAGTAGGATCATACTTACATACAATTTTTTAACCTATAGTTTTCTTTTTGATATATTTTAAATATTTTTCATGGTAATAATACATTATACTTCTTGATGGCTGCATATTATTCTACTAATATGTCATCTGGAGAAGATGAGATTTTGCAAGAAACATTGAGATATCTTTATCCTAACGTGCTTTCTATTTACTATTATAGCCTCTTCCCAAAAGGCACAGTTTTATTAAAGAACCAGTAGCAAGTCGATTTGAGATTTACAGCTCACTGGCCTGGATTGCAATACGAGCTGCTGCACAGGTTAGTGTGTGAATGTTGACTTTCCCAGTGTCTCGCCTGTGTCCTCCTTTGTTAACTCTCCGATGTCTTCCCTGTGACCCCATTGTTGACGCTCCTGATGTCTTCCCTGTGACCCGATTGTTGACACTCCCAATGTCTTCCCCGTGTCCTCCACTGTTGACTCTTCCGATGTCTTCCCTGTGTCCTCCACTGTTGACGCTCCCGATGTCTTCCCTGTGTCCCACATTGTTGACTCTTCCAAATGTCTTGCCTGTGTCTTCCATTGTTGACTCTCCCCAATGTTGTCCCTGTCTTCCATTGTTGACTCTCCCTGTTGTCTTCCCTGTGTCCTCCATCTAGCAATGGAGCTGCTTGAGAGAAAGGAGAAGTGACACTTGGGGAGGGATTTCTATCTGCCATGTCTGTTGGGAAACTTTACAAATAGTCTCTACACCTGTGTAGCATTCATAAGCTCTAGGAACCAGGCACAACTGTTTCCATTTTCCCTTAATGAAATGTTGGATAGACATGTGTACCTGTCCGACATTTTGGCAAATGCATATCCTAGCTGGGTGATGTAACTTATTTAAAGTGACTTATGCATTAATTAGATTGTCAAAGCTAACCAATTAATTGGCTTGACTGTGTTGTATATTCCACACGTCAGGGATCACATGCTATCTTTTTCACATGGTGATTTTTTTCTTCCAGTGTATATCAAATATTATTTCATGGATTCATGTCTTCATGTTTATTGTCTCAGTCTGTATTGTGCTGCTGCAACAGAACAGCACACACTGGGTCATTCATGTTAAACATGGATCTACCGACTCGTAGCGCTTGAGACTGGTAGGTTCAAGACCAAGGGCTAGCAATTGGTCTTGGCCTTCTTGCTTTACCATTGCCTGGCAGAAGGTGGAGGGGCAGGAGCAGACATCCAATGGGGAGACAGCTTCTCCTATAAGAAGGAACTTATTCTATGGCTACTCTGTCAACCAACGCTTCAGGGTTAAGCTCTCTTGACCTAATCACATCTTTAAAATGCTCTCCTTCCTCCTGGTGCCGCAGTGGGGATCAGACCTCCCAGCACAAAAACTTAGAGAGGCACAGTCAAGCCATTGCCTGTCCTAACACAGAACAGATGAATTCTAATGTGTCATTCCAGGTCAGCGAAGCCGTGCTGGCCATCAACCTCCTGATTGGAAAGAAGAATGCTAGAACCGACAAAGTGAATCACATGGCATTGCTGAACATTCCAGAGTTTGCCACCGTGGATCTTTTTTCTTCATATGCAGATTATCTACTTGGTATGTTTGAATGTCTACAGAACTTACCAGACTCTTCTCTGTGTAACATGCAACCGACCTTTGAAGAATTTATTGTTGTGATTTGTTGTCCTTTTGCTTCGAGGAGATGATGGTTTGGAGAGTCTCCAGGATCCCAGGGCCAGTTGCCAAAATAGTGTACATGTTACTCAGCTGGCTGTGCATGTCAGGACTCTGGGAATGATACAATCTTATATTCTTTGTCCTAGCATATATGCATGTCAGATGGTAACTTTTTGTTTGAGGGAGTGTCTGTGATCCTCTAGCCTAAAACACTCACCGACTCACACTCTCCTAGGGCTCTTTAGTCTTATTAATATTTTACATTTGTGTTTCTGTTTGAGTGCATGTATTTATGTGCCATCCATTCATTAAGTTACCATCGGCTTCCCAAGAGCAGGATCTACACTATATTATTTCATCTACAAAAGAGCGCATGATCACTTGCACATGCCAGGCATTCAATCTATTAAACGAACTAATGAATGCCAGGTGAATAGAGTTTAAACTTGACTACTGTTTATTATGACTTTTACTTACCCATGGTGGACTCAACATATGAATGCACTTAACATCCATTTTTGCATTTGTTCACCCACTGGTCAAAAATATCTGTTGAATATTTCTCATATACTGAGCACTGAAAACAGGTGCCAAGGGATAATGGGGTGCCAAATATTTCAGGAAGACTGATGCCTCTCCTTTGTTTTGTTTTTTTTTTTTTTTTTTGGTGTGAGTGAAACACAGAGGCAAAGGAGATGAAGATCTTCCCTTTAATCCAATCAGGTGGTAGTGGCCCCTTCACAGCCTCAGAGATCAGCCTTCTCTGCTGAAGGGTCTCCCTTTAGTGATGGTCTCCAATCTCCCATCATTGTCTTTCCAAGCTCCTTATAGATGATTCAATGACCAAGACTATTTCATTAAGTGTTTTGTGTTTTGTGGGAGGTCATATGTTGACTAGATAGCTTTCTTATACTGAAACTTTATTTTTAAACTTTATTGTTCTCATGCCTAGTAGAATTTTGCTATCTTGGGCTGTGGGTTATTACCCACACCTCTATCTGGGTTCTCTCTTCTCCTAGGCCCTTACAGATGAGTTCACTCTAGACAATGCCTCTGGCCTTGCACAGAACAGTCTGATAACCTGGAACTGGCCACATTCTCTTGTTTCCATCAGATCCTCATGAATTGTGGATGACATGTCTACTGTATTCGTCTCCTTTCCTTGTGGTCTTCACTTTTAGGGATAACATATAAGGATCATCTAAGATGAACTGAGCACCCCTCAGTGCCTTACAACTAAGAACATCTTTATTTTTCTCCTGTGCTCTGCCTCAGGCAGCAGATGGGGCTCAGACATGCTCCATGAGCATCTGCTATGTGCTCTAGCCTGCAGAGTTCTTGACTACCCAAAGCATGTTCCACTCACAGCAGATAGCAGGGCATGCAGAGACCCAAAAAAGGTTTCCTAGTGAGATCTGAGCTTGCTTTACCCAGAAGGGCTGCATTAGAAGATTGCTTGACCATGTACATGGTTACTAAGTGATTGAAAGGGTCTACACTTGACTGAGCTAAGGGGAGGTCTTTGCTCCACCCCTTGGCATTCCTATAAATAGCTTTTTAGAAGAGACAGAAGGAGTCAGTGGATAATGATCCAGGCCCTCCTGAGGCTATCCTGTGTTTCTATCTGTTTCTCTCCCCTCTATCCTTCTACCTCTGTATTTCTACCTCAATCTCTTATCCCTCTCTCCTTAAGTGTTCCCTGTCATAAAAATGTGGGAGTTGGTCTCCCACGGGGGCAAGAGCCAGAGGTCAGATCACACAGGCTTACAGACGGCCCCTCTTACCATCCTACCCTACTGCTCATAGCAGTGTTCTGTGTGAGTGGGGTAGGGACATGTGCTGTGCCTGCAGAAGGGGTGAGATGTCTGTGGACGTCATTGGATAATAATCTACACTGTCTCACCAAGTGCAGAACCATGTGCACCTGCACAGAAAGACAAGAAGAGTTGTCGTCAGGACCAACTAATGCTGTCAGCCATGGATACACAATGGAGGATGGTATTCTCTAAACCAATTGAAATCAGTCGGTCCAGTTGAGTCATTTTCGTCTTAGCTTAATTGTTTATTGTTGTTGTTGTTGTTGGTCTATGTGGACAGCCTTCCTAGCATACATTCAAGTTTCCTTAGTTTCTGCTTTAGACCATTAACACTTCTTTATTATTTTAACTATGAAATTGCTCGGTTGGAAAGTATAATCTGTTTTCATTTTACCTTGCATAAAGAATATTAATCTTGCCCTCCAGTCTTTTCCTGGCAGGCTGATAATTAATGCATGTTGGTGACTTCGCTCATTTCTGTATTTGGGTTGGAAGGAAGTTCTGAATTCCCACCTGATTTCCACAAATACACAGATGGCCATGAAGTTCATATTAAAATGACTTGCTAAAGGGAAAAATCTCTCAACAACAACAAATAAAACTTGTTTGATTTCCTACTCATTAGCATAAATTAGCATCCAGAAGAAAACCTCAGTAATCTAGCTTTAAACAATATTAGTATTCATCTACAGATGAGGTAACGAACGATATTCATCGTTTTGTGTGCAGAGAGCAGTACCAGATATTTCTTTGCTTCTCTCCCTTCCTTCCCACTCCTTTGTTGTGTTATTGGTGGAATCCAGAGTCTTGAGCTTGCTAAGTATCTACTTCAGCACTGAGCTACACCCCAAGTCCTGCACCGGATGCCTATATCCATCAGAGGGGAGTCATGGAACAAACACACCCGGGAAGCAAGTCTTAACCTTCCATGAGCCTCTAGTCATGGGCAGTAGAACAGGCATACACATGGAAATATACAAATCTGTCTTTTAGAAAACCATACTACTAAAAGCGGGATTGATACACCAGAAGCTAAATGAATGTCTTTTTGTGGAAAGTTGAAAATGATCAGAATGGTACAAGTGTTCACTGGGAGCATTCTTGTCTCCTGGGAAGAGTGTATTATAGGACAGATGTAAATCAGTACCAGATGGAATGGGAATCAGATGTTCTTGACAAAGCAATTCAAGACCTGAACTGTAGTGCCAGAACAGCCACCTGTGGAAGCTGGACTCCAGAGTTCCTTGGCAGGACCTGAGAGCAATTACAGGCACTCATAGGACATTGAAAAATCCCAGCCGAATGCTTGGTCCCATTTGTTGAACATTCTGCACATTGTCTTGAAGACCCCCAAAATGATGGCGCTGGCAATGTGGGACTATGTTTAGATTCAGCATGAGAACATTTATTAGATGCTAACTTTGCAGTTATGTTCAAATACACACAATCTTCTAGTCATGATTTTTCTTGTGGCCTTAATATTAATTCAGCAGGGATAAAAAATATTAAATTCTGTAAGACACTTTAAATTAAAAGTACCATTTCGGATTAGCGGTCCCAGATGTAGCCTCTTCCAGCTAAATGCACACGAGACACAGAAAGCTACAAATGCAGGCCATGTTGATGAACTCCCTGTCAAGATACAGAGACCTGTGGAGCAGAGCTGTTGGTACTCAGTATGTGCCTTGTCTCCTGAGACACAGCTGATCTTCCTGCCTGAAGGAATGGGACTTGTCCTTCCCTTTCTCACTTGGTCTTTATTCAGAGACGAACTTGACACCAACTAAACGCAGGGACTCTATTTCTCTACAACTATCTCATTCTCTTATTCCTCCATGGCACAATTAGTAGCAGGAAAATGGAGTGATGCATTTTGTACTCAAGTCCCAGACAGTTACATCATTTACCTATGGGACAGACAGAGATTCACCTGTGCTAGAATAGTGGAGGTGCGTGTGTGTGTGGTGTGTGTGTGTGTGTGTGTGTGTGTGTGTGTGTGTGTGTGTGTACTGTATCACTAGAAATAGTTACTGAGGCATGATGAGAACCAATTGCAGTATAGCAGAGCTGGCCTGGTCCAGTGTCTGAATAAGCCCAGAGCTTCCACTGGAGAGATACCTCACTGATCGTTTAAATTTGAGAAGGGCCCTGGATAGATGTCTTGGTAGTTAAAAAGATTGCCTTACAAGTGTGAGGCCCAGTGAGTGTGGGTCCCCAATACCCACACAAACACTGGGTGCCTGTGTTGACCCACTTGTAATCCCAGCGCTTTGGAAGTTCATATGGGATCTTCAGGTAAAGCTAGATAGATAGACTGGCCAAATCAGCAAGCTCCAAGTTCAAGAAGAAACTCTGGCTCAGTAAATAAAATGGCTGTTGACTAAAGAAGATATCCAACACCAACCTGTGTCTTCCACATACAGGTACACAGATGTGCATCTGTGAACATCCACATATGCATGCTCACCATATATACACACACACATGCAAAAAAAAGATGAGAAGAGACAGTGCCGGGGTACTGTCAGCATGGTCAGTTTTTAGGTAATAAATATTATACTAAGTATAGTCACAATGGACAAACAAGAAGCGAGATGATACATGGGAGATAGCAATGGGAGGCTATCTTCTGGAAGATGGACAGGAAGAGGTGCCTGTCAGAGACCCAGAGCAAACAGAGTTACATACACCCAGTAGGGCCCTCACAACCAGGGACTAACAACAGCAGAGAGCCCAAAGGCTGGACCACTAGCTGATAACAATAGGTTCCATATCCTGTAGGAGAAATCCAGGGAGAGCATCAGCACTGCACATCTTTACAAAGAGGACAGGATGCTGGGGTAATGGAATCTAGCCACCTTCCTCTACTAGTTCAGTCCCTCTACGCAGCCCGGGCGGGTGTTGTTAAGCATCATGTTGGAGTGAGAAGACACTCCACAGGACTTAACACAGAGCTGCTGTTTAGTTTAGAGTCAGTTTATCAAAGGGATTTAACTGATTTGAAAGCTCCTCCTGCCCGTTCTAACTCAAGCATAGAGCAATTCTGCAAAGAAGTGAACAGAATTTGTTTGAATTCATGGCTGAGCTTGACAGCAGAAAAAC